TCTCTCTCTCTCCCCCTTTCTCTCCCTAAAGCTGGCATCTCCCAGGACCCTGCTGACTCTCACACACCTGGGGTTTTCCATCACTTACCCCGCTCAGCTTTATTACATACATTTACAGCTGGCCATGAATCAGATCCATTATACACATAAATGCACATGCACATACACACACAATCCTGCTTAAGACCAAGTAGACACCCACCATTATGCTTGTAGACACACACACACACACACACACATGCATTCATATAGAGTACATTCTGGCTGTAAGGATTTCTGTAAGAAATACTCATGCATTAAGTATTATTTCTCACTCTCTTGTATTTAATATTTATACTTACTGTTACATTACAGTCTTCACGTCTGTTACAGATCTTTACAACATTTTCTCCAATACTATTTATAGTTTTAAAATGCACGTACAATATAAGCGTAAAGAAATCAAGTATCTCTACTTTGATTTTGACAGCTGGTGCACATTTATATTCAATCTGTTGATTATATGTTTGTTTTATGGAGATATTGGTGTTTTACCCACCGTCGGTCCCTGTGTCTTACACAAACAGCTTGTGGTCATTTGTTCAGTGGAAGTCATACCTTATCTGTTACACTGGCTGTCATGTTGGATGACTGAATGTGTTCATATGTGACTGGCAGAGTGTTACTGTACATTTTCTGGTAGAACTGTAACTGAGCGCGGGCATCAATCAGCACGACATCAATCAGCTTGAATCTGCACTCTCACCCTTTAGACACAGTGCCATGTGTCACCTTCCCTTTGGGTTTGAGTGTCACAGTGTATCTCATCTACTATCATTACAGCTTGTAGCTTTTTTAAACACTGCTACAGAGATAAATGTGCCACAAGGCTAGTGGTGTATCCTGGTGGCCAAGTAAGAGATGTTGCTTATTATGTACCTGACATGTTGTAGGTTTGAGCTCTCAGCCTTTTTGTGTGGCATTCCAATTTGGCAGTCAATTTTAATACCAATAATAAATCTAAAGCTATCATGATGTCACCCTACTTGACTTGCAGAGCTTGGCAGCACCCGTTACCCAGAGTTTTGATGTTGGCTGGTTGTAGGTGAAATAATTGCATATGCTGCACCTGGGACCCGTTTTGTCAGACGGTTCATTTGGACAGGGATCTAGTTTAAGACATGGTAGATGAGTGGCATATGTTCAGCTGCACAATTGTGCTTTGCAGAGCAGTTGGAGTCCATAGACTCGAGTAAGTATACTTTCCTGCAGATGTTGATGGAGGGAGTAACCAACAAAGAATAGTAATGTCAAAAAAAGCCTTCATATGAGAAAAAACAACAACATGATTTTCAAAAAATATGTGATTTGCTGTATCATGACATCTCTAACTTTTCAGTTAATTAGCTTTGAAATATAAGTTGCAGTTATATCAGAAGTAACATTTGATGTCCCCCACTTTCCAGTTTGCATTATGCCCTTTTTCATACAAAAAGTTGACAATTTGAGAGGGTTTAGTGCAGGATGTAGGACAGGACATTAGGACTTGGCATCTGTTTTCCCCATCTGCTTTGTATATATCCTCCTTCTCCTTGTTCTTTCTTCAAAATGCTCAAATTTATGTGCCATCCACATGTGCAGAACACCCTGTGAAGGCAGCACAGAAAAAGGCTCTTAGAGCATTCAGTGATGTTTTAACAGTATCAGAGCATTAATTCCTCTCTTTTCTTAATTCTCTCAGTCTCCCTCTACCTGCTGCAGTGTTTTGATGTTGAATAAAACCACATTTCTACAGAAGTGTGACCCTCAGACCGCCTCAGACCCTGAGAATGAAGGGCATGGGATAAAAATTAAAGAAAGCTGCTTTTGATTTGAGAACATATTTGAAGGGAGGCTATAGAGAGAGATTGAGGAACAGAGGTGGCGAGAGCTGACTCAGGATGCCCGGGGGCGGACGGCAGGAAGCAGTGGGTGAGGAGGAGGACAGGAAAGAGAGGGAGGGGGAGACACTCCTCTTCACCATCCTCCTCTGTCATCATCAGCGGTGTCATCAAGGGAGGAGTGGCGTAGGGAGGGAAGAGGGAGAGGTGGAGCTGACATCATCCACCTCCTGGAGGTCTGTGAGGGCGTATTGCCACATTCTCCCTGTTAAAGCTTTTAACAATCACATTGATGCCATCAAAAGGATTTTAATGCATTTAAACAACAGCTGGCAGTAGGAAAAAATCTCATTCAAGAAATACTGAGTCCATGTAAAGAAACACTAAATAAGAAACAGACCATGAACAGAAAGGCAGGTATGGAAGAACAGATAGAGCTCTGGAGAAGAGGAATGAAAAAAGAGGTGTGCAGAAGGAGAGCTCCTCTGCCTTTCTGGTTATATAACTTTCCTGCAAAAGAGGGCATTGGGTTTGTGTGTGTGTGTGTGTGCTAGTTCTCGTGTGGGCTCTCTTTGTAGGCTCTGTGTGTGAGTATGCGTGTGTGTGTGTGTGTGTGTCTGTGTAGGGGTGACAGAGTTTGCAAAGAAGAAGATGCCCAACATGCCTCCTGTCCTCTGCTGTGCTTGTTGTTTGTACTGCGTTACCCAGCTGTCACAAGCCTCTGTTGGTACGCTGTGTATTTATGTGTTTGTAAGTTGTGTATGTGTTGGCACATCCACCAGTGTATGCGTGTGTGTTTTAATAGTGCCTCTGTGTATATACTCTGACATCTCTTACTATGATTCGTTTCAGTGTTGATGTGTGCACCTGTGTCTTAAGGCCCCACAGTGGTTTGGGAGACAGTTAGGGGAGGTTAGATGGTGAAAGATTAGTGCGAGGTTGTGGTAATTTGAGCAAGTGGAGGGAACAAGGTGTGTGGGGGGGATGTGGAAGGCGTATATCAGTTTTAAAAAACTACATAGGGTAGGCCATGATGTTGCTTTTCAGCGTGATACAACAACCATCACCTCACCAGTAATACACCAAGTAATACTGTTGCAAACATCACGTGCCAGACAGTCTTTGTTCTGTAGTTGCAGAAATATTTCTTCTGACACATTCATTAATTGCATCTAGTCTCTGCACTGGGGAAGTAGTGTTTCACAAAATCACATATGGGCCCTGAGGTACAAAGCCAAAGGTCGGCATCTGACACCCTTGGGCAGTGTGTGACTGAACATCATCTGACGTTTTGTGTGTGTGGAGAAAAGGCCAGGAACAGACTTCAGATTCATGGTAGCACAAAAATGGTTGGCTACTTTGTATTCTAAAGGACATTGTAGAGAGAAAAACAAGACAAATACAAACTACTGACCCATTTTTTCTTCCCACAGAGCGTAGATGCATGCCAGTGGCCAGATGGAAGCTAGTTGTAGCCTTTTCAGTGTGTTCAAATGCGTCTAATAACAGAAGACATGACGCGAGGTGACTTGAGGCAAGGCAGCCCTCTGCTTTGTTGGCAGTAGTTCTTTGAAGTTGGCTTGGTGTGTGAGAGACTTAAAAATCGAACTGTCTTATACCTTTTTAAAACAGGATTTGTTATGGACACCAAAATTATGAGGACTTATGATGACAGGCAGTCAAAATAGAGTCATTAAGTCGTCCAAAAACAGTCTGTGTGGATTTTTACCAGGATTCCAGTTGTTCCTCTGAATAACAGTGGTCCATTTGCTTCTCTTATCTTTAGACTTTGACAATAATTGTTCATTCTGAATCTACCTGTGCAATCAGCTGCCGATTGCAGATGCTGATTGTGTGTGTGTGTTTGCCTCTTGGGAACCATGTCGGTTTCCACATGATGTAGAAAAAACATA